GCATTTAGAGCAAGTCATGAAGTATCAATCTATGCTAAAACAAATTTTTTTTTTTTATTGCCTGAAGAAGGCATTGAGTTGTGGCTGAGGTTGTTTTTCTCTTTATATAACTCTGTGTGGGGAAACTTTGTCTGAAACACCGTTTTGCCAATTATTAGGCCTAGCATAAAGGACACAGCCAGCATAAAGATGAACCAATAACCAAATTGTATTTGATACAAAAGGGTCAGTACGTGGGTGAGCCTTGGGCTACAAACAAGTCAATCAGATTATACATAATCAACTCAATCCCACTGACCCCAACAACAACTCCACACAACCAACAATGGGTGGAATAAATGGTGAAATGCAGTTTCCCATAGAAAGGACAGGAGACAACAGAGTCCACAAAGCAAATACATATGACCAAGGAAGCCACATACTGAATCTCTACACAGCCTGTGTTTACAAAAGCCAGACCTGACTGGAGCCCAGTTCCAGGGAGACAGGAGGTCCTTCCCCAACAAGAAACTCTGCATAGTGCACCCATCTCACAGACAGACACTGCCCCTGCCTGCAGGTGGTCTCAGCTTTTATCCCCAAGTGGGACACCTGACCTTTGCTTACTTAATGCAGACAGCTGGGGCTCATTTATCCAATGGCTCTCCCTACAAGGCCGGCTGCACCCTGGAGGGAAGCCTAAAGGCAAACTCACCCCCCCTTTGTGAAGGGCTGTGGGAATCACCCATATATCAACCTTCATTTGGGGCTTGGGGTTGAAACCCCAGCATTTCAAACACTGAACTTCTTTGCAGAGAGGATGTGAATATTAGACAGGTATTTAAGGTGCAGTTACTATATATGCCCTGTATAATTGTAGTTGCACTATGCCATAATTGCCCACGAGTTATGCAACTATGGTTATTCTACTGTGTTGTAAAGTATGTCCTCTTTTTCTCTGAAAAGATTATTGCAAGTAAGTTTTTATTTTAAATATTTGGCCTTAACAAAGAAGAATTTTAATTGTGAACTGTGAATTTTCACATAGAGTTTGAATTATTTTTGTCCTTGTAACATTCTTTGGTTTTCTCCATCAGAAAAAAGCCTACACAAGCAGATGATAAACTGGACATATCTATGGAAAGCAGAGGTTTTGGTACAAAGAATGTTTGAAACACAGCAATAAAGAAGTGTGGATCACATTGACTGACTCAGCTGACAGTAAAAGTGCAGAGTAAATTCCATGACAAAACTTGTCTTGTAAATAATTTGTATAAAGAACCACTCTGAATTTAATGTTTTAAAATTTTGTAGTTTACAAAAGTAAAATATTTTTACTCGGTCATTAATACTTTTATAGAAACTGACATTATGAAGTTCCCTATACATTATGCAAAAATGCCGTATCGTTCCTAACATCTGATTCATTTCTAAAGTAGAAAAGATTGTATTATTCTTTTCACAGCTTTGCGGTTCAAAGACATGCTCCCTCCATCCAATCCCAGCTATTAAGAGACAGCTCCCTCCTCTGGAGCACTTCATTCTTGCACTGAAAACATAGTACTATGGAATCTTTGAAAAATTACTGTATTCACTGAGCTCTTTTAAAAGTCCTTTTGACCTATAGTACGAAACCAAAGATATTCTGAATTGACTGAATATAGACATAAAGTCACGGGCATATGGATTTATGCCACCGCAGGAATCATTTTCATTTCTGCCCCCGCTGTGCTCCTCAGGCACTATCGTACCCCTAGAACCTCTGAGGGACACGACAGCTCAGTGGCCTCTGGGATTTGCTGGAAGCCTCATAAGACACCTTATTTGTTTTCTAGTTGTTGTTGATTTTTTAAAATGGTTGTCACACTGATCTACATAGCTGTCCTGAATGACTAGTTTTATATGATTAGCACATTTAAAATGTTTCAAGATTGTTGTAGGCTGGTTTGAACTTCTGTAAAACAGAGGTTTAATTTCAGTGCATTTGCAACTAAAAATTAAGCATCTTTCCCCAGCCAAAACAAAACATGTGGTTTGGGAATTTGAATATTCTCCGTGGAAGGAACTGCGTTTTGCTTTACAAACAGGTGTTTCTGAAGGTGGATTACGGCTGAAAGGATGAAGAAAAGATAGAAGGCAGTGTAATTTCTGTGAAAGACTTCTGAGCAGGGAGACTTTGATTTATTGATTCCACCACTGCTTGAAATAATAGAACTAAAATATGTCTCTGTAAATAGAAATGGAACAAAGAAGCTTGTCTTCGTTATCACCTTTTTTCCATCATGGAAACCTGAATTTTGTCTAGTTTCTTGCATGAAAAGGAAAGAGTGATTATTATACAGATTAATTGCATCACTAAATTAACCCAACTTCTAAAACCCGATTGCCACATAAAGCTGCATATTTTACTGCCAAAACATATGCATGAAAACTTTTATTTGTAAGATTTAATACTTCTTAATCTATTTAGTGGTTAACAAAGCAATTTAAGGAAATACTCTCAGAAGCAATGGAATTTAAGAAGCTGGATTTGAATTTGATTTAAATTGTCTAAGAGGATCAAAAATTATTAGAAAGGGGCTGACATAGAGACTGACTTTCAAACAGCCAGAGATCACAGCCTGTCTTGCACATCATGTTTTCCTCAGGAAACAGGAATTGGAAGGATCACTACGGATCAGAACACAATCTTAAATGTTTAGTAATATAATAAAAACTTGGAAATTATGTTTAAGATGACTGTATAAGATGAAGTTTAGATTGGATTAGCAAGGTATAAATCACAAAATCACAAAAAGTTTGCTGAAGATGTGATCTTCCACTAACACAGCTACAATGGTACCAGTTTTGCCCAGGGTTTATTGTAGGAACAGATTTGCCAACATAATACATAGAGGGTTTCTGCAGGACATGTACTACTACCACAGGAGTAAAACCCTTCAAATGTAGAAGTAGACAATTATCCATTTTACAGATTTTATTTGCCATATATTATGTGTAACATAAAGAAGGAAATGAGACTCAAATATAAAATAAGGTGCTAATTTTCTGCAGTTTTTCTACAAAATTACACTATTCAGTACAGAAACAAACAAGTAGTATTGCCATTTCACCTAAACTAAAAATCAGAATTGTTTTCTAGAATAGAGACAAGCTATATTATTTTATCAGCATGTGGCTGGTTATTCATTTCCTGAGAAAAAAACAATAATCAATGCCTGCCAGCATATGCTTTTCATTTAATTAGGAACATAGGACTGCAAAGAACCACCTAGGTCATCAAGTCCAGTCTCTAATTAAACACTCTTCAAAAAATATTGATTAATCAAGTTGCATAAATACGGTTGCTTTTGTAACACTGTACTCCTCTGCAGAGACTGTAAGTGATCTTTTGCTTTAACCTTTGTATAGTATTTTTTTATACCTTTCCAGAAGTTTTTTCATATCTGTTATCTGTTCTGGCAAAGACAAAACACCACAGGACAGAGCTCTGCTTCTGCAGACTGGCTGACTTGGGTATGTGGAGACTGTCCAGCCACATAGATTAATACTACCTTCTCCCTGCCTTTGCTCCCAGAGAACCCTACTATGCTATTTCTTTTCACTTAACATTTGATATTGCAGAAAATATGCAGGGACTTCAGAGAATTTTGAAATCTTGAGCCTCTCATAATGTCGATTGACATTAGCTAAGTATGTAAAATCCAATTACTTCACATATAACCCCCCCCTTTAAATATTAAAGAAAACATTCCCATGAAAAGATCTTACACTGTTATGAATCAGATATTAGCTACACCCGAAAGAGAATTCATTTATTTGTAAAGATTTTTTAATATAGAGTGACTATTATTTTCAATGTAAAGAGCTCATAATACAGAAATCTGATTTTCAGTAACTTTATATGACAAATCTTTAGTGTTTTGAGCTGGAAATTAGCAGCACTTGATATATAATTATTAGTACATCTTTGTGTTTATTTTCATACTTAATGTGCCTTGGTCGGTTGAAGAAATTGGCTATATCTAAGAAGATAAATGGATTCCATTAATGTGTATCCAGTAATGTGTATTAATGTATCCTTGACTATAGAACATGCTGCTGCATTTAGAAATACACATTCTAAACATTGATAAATTGCTAAGATAATTTTGACTAAAGGATAATAATTTAACTGGAAAGTAACTGCAATTGATTTGTCATATTAGAAAGAATACATTACCAGAAACATTATGAAATTTATAAACAAATAAAGGAAAACCAGTTCCCTTAATGTATTAGTAGTTGACATGAATTTCTCACATTTTGCTTAAATGAAGAGCCTATAATTTGTCAGAAACACTTCTATGGACCTGTAAAAATATGGCAATAGAATTTTTCAGATGCAACAGCATTGGAGAGGGTAGCCTGGAGCCTCTCTTCTGTTCCTGCAGCCTGCAGTACAAGTCCTTAAATGGCATTTTAAACACACAGCTGCCAAATCTTAGAGAGCTTGGTGTATTTATTACAGCCTAGACAATTGCAAACTGTTTAGTTTTAAACTACCAGAAAGCTCTAGCCGGCATTTGTATGGAGAAAAAGCTTGGGATCACTACCTGTCCTGGAAGTGCCTTCCTCAGAGGTAGGGAAGTAAGAAAGGGCTCCACTACACTATTTTCAATACTGCTCCTGGGACTGTTTCACCGTGGGGCCTAGCAACCTTAAATGCTTCTAATAAAACTCATCCGCAGTAACTTCTGCCTGAAGAGCTGACGCTAAAGCCCACCCGAAGAGCAGCGGAGGAAACCAGCGCCCACCTCTGAGAACGCCTCAGCACCACGGCCCCGCCCCTCGCCCAGGGGGTTTTGGCGCCAAAACCGCCGCCAGGGAGCTGCGGCGCATGCGCCGGGCCCGCTGCCGCGAACCGCTCTCCTCAGCCGGCCCTCTCGGCAGCCCGCGGGGTT